TTTGGTTATGAGTATTAAAGTCCTAGTGTTGTATTTCGTGTTTTTAAGAAGGTTGTAGCGAATGCACTTTTGCGCATGTTTTTTTACATGTACATTTGTGCATGTCCATTTGAGCGAGTGTGTTTGTGCATGTTTGTTGATATGTATTAATGCCCTAGGATTGTAGTTTGTGTTTTCATGATCCTTTTTGCGAATGCACTTTTGCGTGAGTACTTTTGTGCGTGCTTTTGTACTATTACTTATGTGCGTATATTTTGTAGCGAGTGTTTTTGTGCACGTTTATTGATGCGCATTCATGTCCTCGTACTGTAGCAAGTATTTTCATGATCGCTTTTGGAATCCAATTTTGACTATGTTCGAGTCCGAATTTGGAAATTTGACATTAGACAGGAATTGTAGCTCGCTAAAATAGCTTTCTAATGCCGCCGGAACCAGTTGATTTGGAGTCCGGATGAGAAAGTTATGCTCGACTTCGTGGACACTACCGAAGATGTTGGGGGATCCTCTCTTCTAATTTGATTTTATTTTCCTAATTGCAACTCTTTTCTTACTCTTTGATCATTTTTGCTTTGTTGACACTTAATTATCAATTTGTACCTATAGACTACTAAATCCACCAATTATAAAAGAAATATAAATTAATCCATAAAATAATCCACGTAAACTTAAACGTGGAGTGTTATTTCTAAACTCCACTATATCTTTTGTATCTTGTGTTTTTCCTATTGTTTTGTTATGCGTATTAAAGTCCTAGTGTTGTATTTCTTGTTTTTAAGAAGGTTGTTGCGAATGCACTTTTGCGCATGTTTTTTTACATGTACATTTGTGCATGTCCATTTGAGCGAGTGTGTTTGTGCATGTTTGTTGATATGTATTAATGTCCTAGGATTGTAGTTTGTGTTTTCATGATCCTTTTTGCGAATGCACTTTTGCGTGAGTACTTTTGTGCGTGATTTTGTACTATTACTTATGTGCGTATATTTTGAAGCCAGTGTTTTTGTGCACGTTTATTGATGCGCATTCATGTCCTCGTACTGTAGCACGTATTTTCATGATCGCTTTTGGAATCAAATTTTGACTATGTTCGAGTCCGAATTTGGAAATTTGACATTAGACAGGAATTGTAGCTAGCTAAAATGGCTTTCTAATGCCGCCGGAACCAGTTGATTTGGAGTCCGGATGAGAAAGTTATGCTCGACTTCGTGGGCAC